TCGGTCTACCGATCAGGCACTTTGAATGGATTCTTTCATCATGCATGATTCTGTAACATCAAGCATTAGCCATTTGAAAAAAACGTTGCTTCACTGAGTTATGCAGATCTTCCAAATGTTGACATATTTCGTTACACAAAAATATGAAAATATCATTAATATCATCATTGATCTTAAGTACTAGGAAGTTGTGAATTTCAGAGTGGCAAATACAAGTTTCCCAAAATTCTATTTGTCACCTTAAAACTAATTTTATATTGGCAAAAAAATACTGCCATTTGTTTTTCTTGAAATGACAAGCTCACTTAGCTGAGTTTTGAGAACATGTCTGCCAAGGTTTCTCAGTCCTTCTTTGATGCAAAATTCAGCTACCAATTCAAATACAGACGTTCCCCAACTTGTGATGGTTCGACTTACAATTTTTTGACTTTACAATGATGCAAAAGCAATAGGCATTTTGCGTAGAAATCGTACTCCAAATTTTGAATTTTGAACTTTCATTTTTTTATTATTATTATTATTTAAAAACAGACTTTGTGTTAGGTGATTTTGCTCAACTGTAGGCTAATGTAAGTATTCTGAGAATGCTTAAGGTAGGCTAGATAAAGCTGTGATGTTTCGTACATTAGGCGTATTAAATGCATTTTTGACTTACGACATTTTCAAGTTACAATGGGCTCATTGGGATGTCACCCCATTGTAAACTGAGGTGCAAGNCGAACCCGCGGCCTTGGTGTTGTCAGCACCGCACTCTCCCGAGTGAGCCACGGGCCGGCCCAAAACTAATTTTATATTGGCAAAAAAATACTGCCATTTGTTTTTCTTGAAATGACAAGCTCACTTAGCTGAGTTTTGAGAACATGTCTGCCAAGGTTTCTCAGTCCTTCTTTGATGCAAAATTCAGCTACCAATTCAAATACAGACGTTCCCCAACTTGTGATGGTTCGACTTACAATTTTTTGACTTTACAATGATGCAAAAGCAATAGGCATTTTGCGTAGAAATCGTACTCCAAATTTTGAATTTTGAACTTTCATTTTATTATTATTATTATTATTTAAAAACAGACTTTGTGTTAGATGATTTTGCTCAACTGTAGGCTAATGTAAATATTCTGAGAATGCTTAAGGTAGGCTAGATAAAGCTGTGATGTTTCGTACATTAGGCGTATTAAATGCATTTTTGACTTATGACATTTTCAAGTTACAATGGGCTCATTGGGATGTCACCCCATTGTAAACTGAGGTGCAAGTGCTTTTTCATGAGACAACTTTGGAACTTTAGTATACAGTGCAGAATATTCATTGCACAGTATTAAAAAGATATGTACTCAAGAGCTGAGATTTAATAAAATTACTTTTTATTGTTTCATTAAGAACATCCTGAAGTGAAACTGGCACCACCAACCCACTTTTTTTTGGAGGCCTTGATGTTATCACCACATTCAAAACAACTGAGCTAAGCAGCCAACCCTCCTGTTTTTGGTTTTTTTTTTTTTTAACTACGAATGTGTAATGATGAAGAATACAATGGCTACTAATAAATACTGTTTGGTGCTATTACCCTGATGCATGCTAAAGAGCCAGCAGTTTTATCCACCATTGTTTCTGCACCACCAGTGCAAACGTCAACACAGTAAATAATATCTTAAGTCTGGGAATATCAGTGTTCACTGTAAAATTCTTTCAACACTTCTGTAAGTTTGAAATTTTTCATAATAGAATATTGGGAAAAAGTCATTGTGGAAAAGATAAACTTTCGAATAAATTGTGCAGGGACAATGAGATAGCTTTACAATAATATAAAAAAGATTGTTTTCTCTGCTCTCTCTGCTTCCACCATCTTGCAATGTGAGACCCCTGGGTCACTGTCACCACCACCAGATGGACTTTAGATTCCCCCAAAACTGTAAGCAATAAATTTCATTAAAAAAAAAAAAAAGATTGTTCTCAATATACAGTCATGTATTGCTTAATGACAAGGATAGGATAGGTACTGAGAAATGTGTCATTAGGAAATTTCATCGTTGTGCAAACGTCAGAGAGTGTACTTACACAAACCTAGATGGTACAGCCTACTACGCACCTAGGCTATGTGGTACAGTCTATGGCTCCTAGGCTACAAACCTGTACAGCATGTTACTGTAGTGAATACTGTAGGTAATTGCCACACAATGGTAAGTATCTGTGTATCTAAACACGTTTAAACATAGGAAGGTACAGTAAAAATACGGTATAAAATATTAAAAAATAGTACACCTGTATAGGCCACTTACCATGAATGGAGCTTGCAGGCCTGGAAGTTGCTCTGGGTGAGTCAGTGAGTGAGTGGTGAGTGTATGTGAAGGCCTGGGACATTAGTGTACATGACTGTGGACTTTATAAACACCATACACTTGGGCTACAATAAATTCGTTTAAATATTTTTTCTTCGATAATAAATTAAACTTAGTTTACTGTAACTTTTTGCTTTATAAACTTTTTAACTTTTTGACTCTTGTAATAAC